AAACATCAGGAGCTCTGAGCTGTACACCATACAATGTTTGCTAGAAAAGAACAAGTGTGAGTTTGGAGGTTAACATCAGGGAGTAGAGAGAGGAAAAAAGAAAAACAACGTAGGACTGCGTATGGCTTGTTCATACAGCCATTCTAAAAACTTAGTACTGCACGTTCTAATGCAGATACCTGTCTAGCAAAGGTGGAAATGGGGGAATTCAGGGAGGGCATTGGAAAGAAACATTCCTCCAAATTATTCAGCACTGTGTCCTCAGCTTGCATGAACTGGGTAGCATTTTGTGTAGAGGATCTGATGCAGAGGGGTGCTTTCTTCTGTCTTGGAATAAAGTTGCCATCTTTATGTCATGACAAGGACATGGTCATAGGGTGGCAATGGGCAGCGGGCAGAGGGAACTACGAGCTCTCACCCTGGCATGCAAGTTGTAGCACTGATGGTATTCTCACACTGCTGAAGAGGTGTGTGCTAGTGCCTGGAGCTGTACTACAGCCACTTTCTGGAGCTGCTAGTTCACCTGATTCTGTGACCACAGAAGAGTGGCAGATGTACAAGGATATTGGCTAGAGGGACATGTGTCTTGGTTTTATGTTTTTTGGTTTTCAGTATTCCACATCAAAACATTATGTGGAATTAAAGTGTTAGTGCTCCAGTTCCAGGTACCTATCCCTATACATTACAGAAGTCATGGGATCTTACCCTTCCCGGTGGGGCGGTCTCTTACTGCCTGGCAGTGGGTGCTGCAGGGTGCTTTCCTAGCTGTTCCAAGCTTTTCAGGTTTGTCTCGGTCTCAGGAACTCTCTCTCTCCTATCTTATTTGATTTATTAGTCTCAATTTCAATTAGATTGTATTATATTGTGTTATCTTGCATTCTGATATCATGTTAGTAAAATACGTTTTCCTCCATAGATTGTTGCTGCTGTTTTTTTTTTTTTCCTCCCTTCCTTCCTTCCCATTTTGTGGGGCCGGGGGGGGGAAGGTGGGGGGACAGGGGCCTAATGCCCCCTGTCAAGGGCATAGATTGATCTAGTTAACTCCGTGACAACGTGTGAATGTGGCTTTACACTGGGAAAATCTTCTGTCTACTCATTATCTAGCCAGTCCTCCTTGCGCTAGTGCCTGTGGGAAATGTATGTTTGCAAAGGACCTGCCTTCAGATTTATGTCCATAGCCCAGATGTTCATATATCGGCATGTATGGCCGGTCAGCAAATTCCTCCGATTTGTTGACCAGGGCTTCCTTCACTGTGTTGTACCCATTCAGCACTACCACATTGGCCCAGCAGTTCTGGAGACTGAAGACATTTCCAAACTTCTTGCGAAACTGCCAACATAAAAAAATCATGGCCCTGAAGATGATCTGGCATGCAATAGTGTGGGAAAGTAATGTCAAAAAAATATCCCTGTGTCTTTTCTTAGGGTCTGCCTGTTTGGTGGTTTGTACTGTTTTATTAGGAGACCTTCCAGCTGACCTTTGACCATTTTTGTCCCTTCCTTTCTTCCTTCATTTTGTTCTTTTCCTCTCTCTCTTTCTGTCTTTTTCTTTCACTGTCTTTACTTTTTCTTTCCTTGCCTTGCCTTGTTTTTTTTTGCTTGCATTTTCTCCCCTCCCCTTTTCCTCTTCCCTTCCTTGTTTCCCTTTTTCCCCCTTTTCCCCTTTTCTGCTCTCTCCACCTTACCCCCTGTTTCCTCCTGTCAACCCCTTCCCTCCTGCCCCTTTCCCCTTCTCTCTATCCTTCTATCCTTTTTTTTTTTTAATTATTGCAGTTGGATTTGAAAGGGCATTAATACTTCAGTGACACTGGAAATACATCATTAAGAGCAACTAGTGGTCAAGTAACCAGTAATCAGTGCAGTGAGAATGACCTTGATTTGATATGATTTGAAAATGATAATCTTTTGGATGCTATGCAGGCAAACACTACAAATGGTTTAGTTTCTACATTTGGCATGTTTTGGACAGACCGCTAAAGCAGTTTTGTCATAGAGAAGGAGCCTTTGGAGTTTGCACACTGAAGTAAAAGCCCATGGCTGATCTGCTGGA